ACTGAACATGTTTGCAAACAATGCCCTTCCCTCGTTCCAGATTATAAACTCCCTTCTTAGATCCCAGTATTTTTCTAGAAATATAAAATGTCACCCTGAGGCTTTCCACAATTTATTACAGACAGAAATAAAGGCAAAGAGTTAAGTGATTTCTTCAAATTCTCATAGGAAACAAGTGAAAGCTCAGATAAGAATTTGAGTATAAACCAAGTATTTACTACACAGGTGGTCCTTCAGAAATAAAGCATTGAAGATGGCTGAAATATTAGTTCCAATTCTTAATATATTATTTTCAGTTGATTTTTGTTGGTGATATAAATACTCAAAGATAGAAATGCAACTGAAAATATTTTTCTTAAGAACATCTAAAGTTCTAATAGGATGGTTTTTTTCAACTTATACTAAAAAATGAAAGTTATAAAACCTAGCACATAAGCTTGATTTTAATTAACTGTACCCAACCTGTAGTTACTGAGACGAGTCACTTCAAATCCACATGGCATGAGTTAAATACTTGGACAACTGACTGTATAAAACAAGCTATAAAGACAAAACAAGTACTTTTGAGTACAGTAATGCAAACAATCTACTTCAAAAGCTATCCCTACCTTTAGATCCACAGAGAGCCATGATAAGGGGACTGTTGCTCTTGTCCAGTTCTCTGAGACAGGCACTGCCAGCATGATCTCTGATAACAGAGAGTTCTTTAAGGATTAAGGCCTGAAATCCAAGATTTCAGAGATTCAGCATTCATTAAAAATAACATACATAAACAATACTCTACCACTTGCCAGCAATACCTTCAGTAGTCAAAGGAAATTTAAAATACAATGAAAAGAAAGAAACCTAGATATTGCTTCAGGTAAAAAAATGCTTAACCTTTAACTTGCGTAACTTTCCAGTTTGCTGTACAAAAAGTCTTTGTTGGGTAGCCAGGGACATGACAACCTCTTTTGTCAGCAGCACCAACTTAAGCTAAACTGAGCACTGAACTAAGCTCTAAGTCTTGCTGTGCAATGTGAAAGATTACCAGAAAAAAAATATTTTAGAAAAGTATTTTTGCACTGCTTTCTGAGAGTACAATGCTGGTACCGCCAATTGTTTAGAACATAACAACTGTATCAAAAAAACATTCTAAGTGTCTGAAAAGTGGAAAAGACTGCAATATACTTCTCTCAGCCAGACTGCCACTTCAAACTAGGCAGCTGTGGCAGTACTTCATGATAGGGTGGCTATTTCTAGTTGTTTTGTTGTTGCTGTTGTGGGTTTATTCTTTTTTCTTTCCACTCTTTTTTAAAGGTAAAAACTAGACATTGAGTAGCCAAGAAGACAAATGTATAAAACCATTAAAGACAATGAAAAGTGTTCTTCAGCTGACTTAAGTCCCTGTCTGTAAGCTTTTGGGCAACATTCTTTGCTCTTCATCCAAATTTCTACAGAAAAAAAAAGAAAAACCCAGCATAACCAACGTCCATTTAACTTTTGCCCCAGTAAAGGGCAAGGAAACACTTGCATATAAACATATTTATAACTAAAGGACTGTTTTGTTTCTTGGATTAGGTTCTTTACTGTTACTGTTATTTATTAACTTAGCAAATATTGATAAACGTAATTAAACCCGTTCCAATTTCCTATGTAATTTTATTCTCCTGTATGTCGCCCCAATACATCCACAGTCAAGAGGGAGGATCTCAGTTGTTTAGTATTTAGCTAACATTTTTAGATGCATAGAAGCATCTATATGCTAAGCCTAGATAGATTCAGCTAAAGTTGCATACCTAGCAACCCTATTTGCTCTTATTTTTAGGTTTCAGAAGACAACTTGGAACTTCACAATTTACACGAATACATTCATGAAGTCTCTACTCTTACATCACACAGTGATTTAAGTTTAAAATGTTACCTCTAGTGTCTCCTCTGCAGTACAACCAGGCTGCTGCTGTAGCTTGCCAGTGTTCAGAGCTTCAATATACTCATCACATTTCTTATAGCCAGCATTCAGGAGCTCATACTTAGCTTTTAGCAGACCCTGCCCAGGGGTTACATCACCAATTCCAATTGAAAAGCCACGATTAGCTATCAATAAAAAAATGGGGAAAAAAGAAAAAACTATTACATTAATAGTTAAATCTCATACAGAGAAAACAAATTAAAACCAGGAAATATTATCATCACAAACTCTGTGTTTTCCTCCCATCATGTGATCACCAGAAGCACTTCATAAGCATAATCAGTTGTTTCGCTGTGTGTCAGCTTCACAATTGCTTTTTTTTTTAAACACGGTACAAAATATTTGAAGCAAAAATCTTGCTTGGTTGCTCTGCATTTCTGCTTGAAGATCCTATTTTACAAAGAAATACACTTCCCCCATTACTTACAGAGATAGACAGGAGCAAGTCTGGCTAGTCGTGACATGGCATCTGCAGCTTCTACCTGTCCCCAGTCTCTCAGCAAGATGTAGAAGATGTTGTTCTTGGATCCTGAACCTAAGGTTCCTTTGTCCATACTGCCACTCATTAACTCACTGTTTTGGATTGTGACATCTAAAATAAAAAGGCAAAAAGAACTCATTGTTTTTCTAAAACATTGCCTAAACTCTAGTAAACAGTTATGGAGTAGGTTTTTAAATAAAAAAAAACAACCTTCAAATACTACATTAGTACAGCAATAAGAAATTTTATTACAAGAAAACGCTCGTCTTTTCTTTGGTGTT